GGCAGCTTGGAAGGGAAGGAAAATTCAGCAATCGACAATATGGTTTTATGCCACAACGTAGTACAGAGGACGCACTATATGACATAATGACAGTTATAAAACAAGGCATAAAAGAAAAGAAGATAGCTGTTATGGTGTCCCTCGACATAGAAGGGGCTTTTGACAATGCTTGGTGGCCCCAAATAATAAAAGAAATCCAAAGGAAAAATGTGAACATACACAACCTGAGGCTCATTACCAGCTATCTGCTCAAGGAGTGTTATAGTGAAATATGCAGGAGCAATGGCCACCAAACCTACTACCAAAGGATGCATACAAGGATCGACTTGCGGACCCATACTCTGGAACATCCTTCTCGACCCCCTTCTTGAATTAAGTTCAGATATGAATGTACATCTTCAGGCATTTGCTGACGATATTCTTATCATCGCAAAAGGAAACTCAGCAAAAGATGTAGAAGACAAACTTAATCCGGCTTTAGAGAAAATAGTGACATGGGGTAAAACGCACAAATTAAATTTTGCACCACATAAGACCCAATCCATCGTAATAACCAAAAAGTTATCTTACGAACTACCTGTAATTAAAATGGACAAAATTATTATACAGCCATCTACAAGTCTAAAAGTACTTGGCGTTACAATCGATAAAAATTTAAACTTCGTAGAACATCTAGATGAAGTCCTCGGGAAGGCAATAAAATTTTACAAAATGATAGCACGAACAGCTAAAGCTCATTGGGGACTTAATTCTGATATAGTGAAAACAATATATATAGCAGTAGTTGAACCAATCATCCTTTATGCAGCAAATGTCTGGGCTATGACGATGAAAAAAGAATACATGAAAAAAAGATTGGAGCGCATAACAAGAATGTTTGCAATCAAAATATGTAAAGGTCACAGAACAGTCTCGTTCACGTCTAGTGTTATACTGGCAGGAATACTCCCTCTCGACTTAAGAGCAATGGAACGCCTTTCGCTCTACGAAATAAAACGGGGATAAAAAGGACGAAGCCAATGAACCAACTTCCGGGAAGAGACATCGAAAAACTCATAAGTCCTTTTTGCCTACCCCATCCTGCTGAAAGATGTCGCATGTCTTTTGAGCTTATAAGCTCTCAAGATCAGGAACAAGCAATAGACTCCTTTAGGCCAAGGCTATATACGGATGGAAGCAAGCTGGAAGGGAAAGTTGGTGGCGCTGTCAGTGTATGGAAAGATGGCAGGGAAATACGTAAGTCTACTTTTCGGCTAGAAAGTTATTGTAGCGTTTACTAGGCAGAGCTTACCGCAATACTAAAAGCGCTAGATATGATGTGCAAGTTCGACGAATTGAGGAAAGGAACAATCTTTAGTGACTCACGTTCAGCTCTTGAGTGTCTGACCGACAATTCGTCCCTCCATCCTCTGGCAGCTGAAATAAGAGAGCGCAGAAGATCACTAATAAATAAAGACGGCGAGGTAAAATTTCACTGGATAAAGGTACATATCGGTATACCTGGCAATGAAAGGGCTGATGAGCTTGCCAAAAAGGCTGCACTATCCAACAAACAAGCACCAGTTTATGACAAGTGTCCGCTGTCTTTCGCGAAGCGACTAACCAGGGACTCCACCTGCGTGAAGTGGCAGCAGCGATATAGCGAAGCAACAACAGGCGCGGTCACGAAAAATTTCTTCCCAGACGTAAAAGAAGCTCACAAGACACTGAAGCAGATAAGAATGGACAATATTAAATCTCAATTATTAACTGGTCATGGAGGATTTAAGGCTTATTTGTTTAAGTTCAAGTTGGCGCAATCTCCATTTTGTGTTTGCAGTAATGAAGGAGATGAAAAAATTGAACACCTGCTAATAGATTGTCCTAGATTCACTATTCAAAGAATGGAATGCGAGCATAGGATGGGTTAGGTTAGGTTAGGTTAGGTTAGGTTAGGTTTTTTTTTCTTATAATACTACCACTATTCTGCGGTACTCTTTTTTCTGTTTATATTAATCTTTTTGCCTTTTATATTTCTGCTTTTTTTTTCTTTTTGTCCGGTCGTGTCGTTATTATAATTTTTACATAGTTATTGCATAGACCTTATTATCTTACATATATCATGCATTATACCTTTCTAGATATCTTAATCTATATAACATTCGAACTTTCCACTATTGTTTATTTACATTCGTATACGGTTTTGAAGAGAATACAAATAAAAATGCAGAACAATATACAGTACAATAGCTAATTATTATCCTACATCTTCCTTACACTAGTATTAGAATATACATGACTTACGATTACATTGTGTATTACTGGAGCATTGTGCTTTACTGTTATTTTTACATTCTTTTTTTTTCCTTTTTTTTTTAAGTTATTATTCGTTTTTAAAATACTGCTACAACTTGACATACAATCTTTTTCACTTGATCTTGTATGTGTGATATGCATTATTTTTTTTTTAATATTTTTCTCTTATAGTTGCTTCCTTATTAATTACTTTCTATTTACCCTAATTCACAATACTATTCTATTTTAATCCTAGACATTATATTATTACATATAAATGCATACGCTCACATACGCATATATACATACATAACTATACATATAGATTCATACATACTTATACATAACCACATCCATACATATAAATATGCATACAGTATCAACATTCTTATACTATTGCGCATAATATAATCAAATTGTATATTAACTAGTCCATAACTTTGCTTCCGTTCTCTTTATTTATGACTTTTAATATAGAGAGAGCGAAGCCTATAAAATAAGATCTGCAATAGTCATCTGCCATTATTAAACTTAGATTCTTAGAGTTTAAGTCCATTCCCATGCTGCACTCGCACTCGTACCTTTTTTTGCCAAAACGTGGGCAATCTAAAATTATATGCTCAAGTGTTTGGTGTGAGCTATTATCGCATGTGCAGTGTGGGGACGGTGCCAACTTAAACCTGTAAAGATAGGCTTTATTTCCACCGTCACCGGTTAGTAACTGTGTTATGATGTTGGTTAAGCTTATATGTCTAAGTATATTGTATGCCGTCGTGATGCTCGGGAAGAAAGTTCTTGTGGTTTCGCTGGTGGATGCCTCTTCGTACTTGTGTCGCCATTTTACCAAGGTGTGGCTTCTGGTAAGGTACTTGGCGTATGACAATGGGAACAAGCCGTATGCGGGTCTCTGCTTTTTATGAGTAGCGGCATATTTGGCTAACTCATCTGCTCTCTCGTTTCCCATTAGCCCACAATGAGCCTTTATCCAGTAAAAATTTATTTTCCCGTTTCTTTTTTCTAGGATGTTAAGTTCTGAATTTATTTCTGCAGCGATGGGGTTCAGTGCTGATGCGTTGCAGATGGTTGTTATTGCTGATCTGGAATCGCTTAGAATATTGGCTTGAGAATGTTTTTTATCTATTAAGAATTTGATCGCTTTTAGGATGGCTATCAATTCCGCTTGATAGACGCTGCAATAGCTCTCAAGTCTACAAGTAATGTTTTTGATTTCTTTACAGTTTTGCCAGACCGTAATTGCAGCTCCGACCTTATTGTTCATCTTGCTTCCATCTGTATAAATATTTATCCAGTTGTTATTAATGTTGTCCATGTCTTCTTGCGTTGTTATTAACTTAAAGTCTCTTTGTCGTCTGTCAGCAGGGTGTGGTAGAAGATATGGACTAATTCTCGTCTCCAGGCACCTTCCTGGGAGTGACTTTATAGGTTTACCTCTCTTGATTTCGTATATCTCCGCGTTTTCTTTAGCTCGTAGAGCTAATGGAATAATTTGAGCTAGAAGTGCACTTGAGACGAGGGAGATAGTTTTGTGTCCTTTACATATACGGATGCTGAACATGCGTGTTATTCTGTTGAGGATTCGTTCAATATACTTTTTATTTGTAGTTTCTGCCCAGCAGCTGGCTGCATAAAGGATGGGTTCCACTACTGCTAGGTAGATTGTTCGTACAATGTCCGAGTTCAAGCCCCATTGTGCTCTTGCAGCTCTAGATACGATTTTGTATAGGTTGATGGCTTTGCAGCAGACGTAGTCTATATGCGGCTTGAAGTTAAATTTTTATCTATTATGAGTCCAAGTATTTTTAGGTGGTCCGAGTATGTTAGGACAACTTCATCAATAAGTAGCTTTGGGCAGTGGTATCTGAGTTTTTTGGTGATGATGATCGTTTGTGTTTTATGAGGGGCAAATTTCAGTTTGTGCTTGCGTCCCCATTCTGTTATTATTTTTAAGGTGTTATTTATATCTTTCTCCAATTGCTCTCCATCCTTGCTTGAGGCTAAAACTAATATGTCGTCTGCAAAGGCTTGTACATGCGCAGGTGCGTTTTCTGTTGCTTGTAGCAATGGATCCAATTGGATATTCCACAGCATGGGTCCGCAAGTTGAGCCTTGGATACATCCCTTGCTTGTGGGTAGTCTTGTTGTTTCATTTGCATAGTTTAAGGTGATTTCTCTGTCAGACAGATAGTTACTAATAAGTCTTAGCGTAGTTGGTTCGACTCGTTTATTTTCTAGTTCTTTTATAATAGCATGCCACCATGCATTGTCCAATGCACCTTCTATGTCTAGTGATACCAGTGCTATTATCTCTTTTCTGCGAAGTCCTTCTTTTATCAGAGTGATAATGTCGTAGAGTGCGTCCTCCGTGCTGCGCTGTGGAGTAAATCCATATTGCCTCTGATTCATTTTTTCTTCGTTGCCCAACTGCCATTGTACTCTGTTTGTGAAAAGTTTTTCTAGTATCTTAGCCAATACTGGCAAAAGACCGATGGGACGATATGATTTAGGCTGAGTATAGTCGTTTTTGCTCGGTTTAGGTATCACTTTTATAGTCGCTCTTTTCCAGTTATGAGGGAAATAGCCCAACTCCAGACATTTGTTGTATAGTGAAACGAGAAGTTATTCAGTATGTGTTCTATTTCGACTTGTGTAAATAGTCGCATGGTATCAGTATGTTGGTTATTAATCCGTGTAATGAGTTCTTTTACTTTTTCCCTTATTTCTGACTGCTCTTCTGTGTCTGTGTTACAACTGTCCTTTGGGTAAAATGTTTCAGCTAGAAGAACTGCTGATTGTTTTGCCGATAGGATTTCTCCGTTTTGGTCCCTTAATAGTTTGTCTTCCTCCCTGTTTGTACTTATTTTTAGAATGCGGTATGTTCGTTGCCAGATGGTTTCTTTTTCTTCTTTATTGCACAGGTCTTTCCAGCTCTTTGTGGAAGCTCTTTCAATACTTGTTGTATAATCTTCTTTGGCGATCAAGTATTGTTGTATGACATGGTCTCTGCGTCTAGGGTGTGCGTTCTTAATTCTTCTACGAATTCTGATCATTTCGTCTTTTTTTTCTTTTAGTTCCGCGTTCCACCATTTCGCTGCTTTAGAAATTTGTTTTCTTTTTATTGTAGGAATAGTTTTACTACAGGCTTCCATGATACATTCTGTATAATCTACTACTGTTTTGTCTAGATTTTCTATTGTCCTTCTTTTCTTGCTTTCTTTGGTGATACCCTTTGTATCTATTACTTTCTCTAATTCTGTTCTAAAGCTATTCCAGTCAGCATTTCTCGTGTTGAATTTCCTGGTATTATTGATTTTTCTCTGCTGTGGCTTGTTTGATATAGCGAGGTTAAAAAGGATGGGCTTATGATTTGAGATGGTGCCAAAAGAATCATCTATTCTCCAGTTATAGATTTTGTGTAGCAGAGAGGATGTGCATAACGTGATGTCTATTATGCTCGAGCAGAGTGAACCCATTCTGTATGCACTAAATGTAGGAGATTTGCCAGTGTTTAGTATCTCGAGATTGAGTTCTGCTACCGTTTCCATTAATAGTGTTCCCCTTTTATCATCTGCCTTGCAACCCCACCAGATACTGCTTGCATTAGCATCACCTCCTATGATGACATCTTCAGTGTTCATTACTTCCTTGAATTTTTTGATCGTACTTAAGTCTTCTTCGATTATTCCTTTTTCGTGTAAATATATACTAATTAAGCCTATATTAGTGTGACCTATATTTGGTTCAACTCCTACAATATCCTCAGTTAATAAATTAGGGTTAATAGTAAACTGTATATTTGGGTCTGTGATGACTATTGCGGATCTTACCGGTTTGGATTTATCGTTTGTAATATTTTGTATAACGCGGTACTGTGATCCAACAGTTACATGTGATTTGGCTCCAACGTAAGGCTCTTGCATTAGTATCGCTGAAAAGCCTTGTAAACACTCTAGAGTTGCCGCGCGTCCTCGATCGAGGTTATAATGGACTATTTTGATGACATTCTCATTGCCTGAAGGGCCCTTTGAAACTTTTATATTATGTGTGTCATTTGATTCTTAGCAGTATGAGATTGAACTTCTAGCTATCTGGTCCCATTTGTGCCACTCTGGGCATTCAGGACTATATGCTGGATGTATTGCATTTTCTTTGCCAAGGTTCTTGCAGTTGATACAAACGGGAGCAGCGTTCCGGTTTGTACATATTCTAGTATCATGGCCCCCTGAGCAGTAGCCACAACCCAGTTCTTTTGTGCAGTCCCTTGCTCTGTGATTGAAGCCTAGACACTTGTAGTATTGGGTAAGTGGGGACTGATCGATGCAGGGGACAACCTGATATCCAATACGTAATTTTTTATCTTTTAAGTGAGTCCACATTTGCGGAGAGACTTCAAGTATGATGTTGCTTAATTCACGGGTTCTGCCTTTTGTTCTGCGAAGAATTCTATCTAATTTTTGTTCTTCGGAGAGGTCTGTGATTAACTTAGAATTTTGCGCCGTGATTGCTTTAGCCAATTTCATATCATTGAGTTCATTCGTAACTCCTATCAGGCGCAATTGCGGATGTTTAACGGGCGGTGTTGAAACAGTTAGTTTATTACGTGAATCTCGTATAGCTGTTTTTAAAACTTGCCTGTCTTCAGGGGAGTCGCAGCATATTACCACTCTCTGATTTTTTAATTTTGTTACTTTATTCACCCTAAAACCAAGTTCTATGGGATCGACATCTGACCTAACTTGTTTTAAGATCTCGTCACACGTTGATCGCGGGTCTATAGACTCTACGACCATGGCGTATCGAGGTGTCGCTGTTGCCTCTGCGTATGTGGGTTTGTAGGTCTGACTTGGCTTTATGCTTTCTAATTGTGGTGTTATTTTGCTATATTGTTCCTCGTTTCTGTGAATGTTAGCATATATTCTGTTGTATTATTGTTTTAGTTCCAGGATTTTTTCGTTAATGTCCGCGATTGCCAATTCAGTACCCAATCATGAGTTCCCTTGCAAGACTGTTTGAGCAGTGCTACATTCTTTTAATTCATCCAACTCGGAGTGTAGCGTTTTAATCATATCAGCGATAGGTTTTATCACCGTTTCTAGGTCCTTTTTTTGGATATTACATGTTGATTCGCTGAGAGCTGGCCTAGGTTTTAGTGTTTGTAATATTTATTTCGTTTCCTGTAAATTATGTACTATATACTGGATACGGGGGTCCTCTGGTACTTTTAATTCTGTTTGGGCGGGTTGTTGTACTTCACCTTGAGATCTGGCAATTTCATTTACTGAAAGGCATAGATTTTCAAGCTGTTTGCCCATTTCTATGACCATCTTAGTAAGATGTGCCAGATTCTCAGTGCCAAGGTCAGTATGTGCTATTGAAGTTATTGCAGGTAGCGGGGCATGAGATTTAGCTGCTAAACTACAGACTTCTACATTAATTTTGTTTATAGCCTTTAGTGGCTCATCCAATTCGTAACTAAGCCAATTTCTGATAGCCTCGACAGCTTTGCCTGTAGTTGTAATGGCTTCATAAGTAGCTTTAATCATGCCGTGATGAGTATTCTGGATTTCCGCCAATTGTTTATTGTGAGCCCTTTCGACTCTAATTAGTTCCTTTGCTGCTCGGGATTTTTCCTGTTCTAGGGCTAGCCGGTGACGAGAGCGAGAGTCCGAAAGTGACAGCACCGTCTCGTAGAGGCCTTGCAAAGAGTCATGCACCTCACTTTTGCATTCTCGTTTCATGTTTCCCGCCTTTTCGAGGGCTTCTTTTCCTGAAAGCAAAAACTCATTGGCGCGTTGCGTGGCCAGGTCCATTGAAATTCCCGCGCGCTTGTAAGCTGGTGGGAGTATGCTGGACCTTCTGCTCTTATTGCTACTTATGATGCTGTCGGCGTCAGACCAATTGTCGTCTGTCTCGCGAATCCTCTTGCATAAGCCCAATGCATCAATTTCCCTTTCCATATCAAGTGCTTGCGTACTATTGCCGTCAGATTCCTCTTCCTGTGCTGCTGAGCTGGACAGCTTTGTTGAGTCGCTTTTATCCTCATTACCCTTGCTGGTCCGGGCTGAGCTAGATGCATCAGTGCACAGTTCGCTGACAATGAAGCCTCTGCTAGGTTGCACTTCATCTGCCGTCTTACCAGATGTGGATGCATTCTGTATCAGAACTTTTTTACGCAGAGCCGAGCTGGGAGTTGGACTGGCGGCTCTGCTTGTCTTGGAGGGCTTTGATTTGGTAGATGCTGTGGCTGAGGTGACAGATTTGGTTGACATATTTACGAAAAAATAAAGTTTACTTTTGTCTATCTTTGAGAACCAACGCGATTGGGATAAATTAGTGTGGGTTAGATTTCTTTTGTCAAGCCAAATAGATTGAACCTAAACACGGCTATATTCGGTTGAGAGGTTTCCGAGTTATAGGCGTTTGAAAATTTCCAATATGGCCGCACTTTATTTTCTTTTTGCTCTTGGTTAACTGCCTGTTATCCTAAAACCTTCAAGTTTGGGCTCAAATTACACGAAATTATATATTCTAAGTGTTGACAGAGGTTTCGGCCTCCTAATAGTAAGGTGCTCGCAAGTTTAAGAATCAGCTCCGCTAGGTTCTCCTGACAAAAATGATGCCAAGCTCGGTCACTTTTGGTCACTGGTTTCTGAATTAACTGATGAAACCATTTTCCAATATGGCCGCCAATTAGACTCAAATTGTCCAACTCGAGAACGTAAGCAGGTGAACAGGTCGTGTTTGGGCTCTTTAGAAAGCTCCTGAAGTATAGATTATGAATATTAGATATAAAAACTAAAATAGTATTTTTTTTTTTGTATTCATGCAAAAAATAAAAGATAAATACAAAAAAATTGATATCTCAAAGAGCGTTACAGTTATTTGAATTCTGTAAATGGACAAAGTTTAGGGATAAAAAGCTCCGCCTTAGGATTAATTCAAAAGTAGCCGCAGACGTCCACTGCTTATTTTAGGGGTAGCACATGTTAACTAAAAATATTAAAAAATTTATAACTGAAAAACTACTCACTAGAAAAATCCAAAAATGTATACATATATTCCTTATGTTTTTCTCTACACTATTTTAAAATAATAATTGGGGGTTTTCACTTTACTTTTTAAGTTATTTTAACGTCAATTTTTTCTAAATTTCAAAAAGTCAATATCTCTTAAACCACTTATCGTAAAATTGTCCTGAAACTTGCTCCCGGCTGCTCTCTACGCGTGCTACCAGAATCCGCTTTCAAAAACAGCCGCACGCCTTTGCTTTTCAAAACACGTGCCCACGTGGCACTTGTTTTTTTGGCTTTTTCTCCGGAGACTGTGGCTCCGAAAAATCTCAATTCTTGCACACAGGTGGGGGCCGCGAGTAGCTTGAAGGCCGCACTTTAAAAAGTAGGGGTAAAAGTGATTAATCGCGCAGCGTTTCACTTTAAAATTTTGCCACTTTTTAAAAATCACTCTTTTCACTCTATCTTTTTCACTAAAACTCCGATTTTCTTGCGATTTTCACTAGATTAAACCCCGCGTCAAGACGCAACTTTTGATGTATCACTCATCAAAATCGGTTGCGAAAAAACCTATTTTTACGATATTAAAAGCGCGGAGCAACACAGAAACGTGGCGTTCGGGACGGCAGTTGACACCGGACTGGGTTAGGTAAGGTTGAGTTTCCTTCCGAACGGGTTCCCGCCTTGTCGTGGCGGGGGGCTTAGTAGCCGTGGCTTGGTCTCCCACGGTGAACAAAGAGGAACCCACGTGGCTGGCCCGAGGTGAAGGGCTGGCCTGAGGTGGCCACTCCGAGTGGGCTTGGGGAGCCCACTTCGGATGTGTGCTGGTGGACTGCAGCGAGTGGGTCCCCGCACCCTCTACCGCTGCATCCGAGGTGGAGTCGCGGAGGAAGAGGAGTGTTGGTATGGCGATGCGCCACTCGCCCTATCCTACGCGACTCAAACGGGGCCGCACCGTTGATGCGGTGGTGATGGGGCTGCGGGGGGAGAGGATTGTCGGTATTGCGAGGCGACGCTCTCCCTATCCTCCGCAGCCGAATCTTGGTCGGCGGCGGAGCCATAGACCAGATCCGCCGCTGGGGTCGGGAAGGTTAGTACTTCTAAGTGCTCGTTTTCCCTGGCCCCATGGCCTTCGTGCATCGGACGCGGGGGCGTCTGTTGCGCAGATGCAATTGGAGGTCGTGGAGGAAGGCGTGCCATGTGTTCTGGTGCGCCTTACTTGGGAAGGAGAACGGGGAGGAATATTCCTCTCCCGAGGAGGTGCTGCCATGGGGCTGCAGTCGCTGGTAGGGCCGCGGAAGTGTGCGAAAGCGTTCCCGTAGCCCTGCCAATATGCGACGAAGGTGGAACACCATGGGGTTTTAGTCGGTGCGAGTCCGACATAAACCGTCCTTGCCCCCGCGAGGCGGGTATGCGTAGGCATTATGAGTCTTAACACCATAGGTTCAACCTGTTTGTTTTTAAGTTCAGTGACAATAGGAGGCCACCATGCATTATCGAATGCGCCCTCAATATCTAATGACACTAGTATGACTATTTCTTTCTTCTTAAGTCCATTCTTAATTAGCGTAATAGTATCATATAGCGCATCCTCCGTGCTTCTCTGTGAAGTGAATCCATATTGTCTCTGGTTCAATTTTTCGTCTTTTCCTAACTGCCACTGGATTCTATTCGTAAAAAGTTTTTCCAGTATTTTACCCAGTACTGGTAGCAAGCCAATGGGTCTGTATGCCTTTGGATGGGTATAATCTTCTTTACTGGGTTTTAGGATTACCTTAATAGTTGCATTTTACCAATCTTTGGGGAAATATCCTAGTTCGAGGCACTTATTATAGAGTAGTTCCAGCACTTCGGGTCACAATTATAAGCTGTTTGGCATATATCGGATGTTAGGCCATCCTCACCCGGGGCTTTTTTAGGACTCATGTTGCTTAGTATTTGATCTATTTCAGTTCTAGCGAATGGGGTCTTAACCTCTAATGCTTTGTTTTCGAGTTGTGCTATAAGTTCATTTGTTTTTGTTCTTATTTCATCCTGTTCCTTAGTGTCGGTGTTTGGATTATCTTTAGGGTAAAAAGTTTCAGCTCGAAGTGTTGCTGACCCTTTTTCTGAAAGGACTGCCCCATTTTGGTCTTTGAGCAGTTTGTCTTCCTCTACATTAGAACAAACCTTCAATATCCGATAATTGCGTTGCCACACGTTTTCTTTCTGCTCGTTCGTGCATAATTCTTTCCAGCTTTTGGTTGTGGCATCTTCTATACTTTCTTTATATTGTTTTCGTGCTTCGAGATATTGTTCTATGACCCAGTTCTTTCTTGTAGGGTGTGCATTCCTTATTCTTCTTCGTAATCTGATCATGATCTCCTTTTTTTCTTTAATTTCGGTGTTCCACCATTTAGCAGCTTTTGGTAACTGTTTTCGTTCTATTTTCGGAATCGTCTCATCGCATGCCTTCGTTATGCATTCTGTATATGTTTTTACGAATTCATCAATCTCCTGTCGTCCTAATAACTCCTATTCTTTCTTTGGTTAGACCGTTGTTCTCTAGTGCCCTCTTGAGTTCAACGTTGAAATGGCTTCAGTTTGCTTTCCTTGTGTTGTATTTCCTGGTGCTGTTGATTTTTGACTCAATAAATGAAGTTGACGTACTAAATTTGAAAAGAATTGGCTTATGATTAGATAAAGTACAAAAGGAATCATCAACTCTCCAATTCTCAACCTTATGCAAGAGTGATGTTGTACAGGCGGTAATGTCTATAATGCTGGAGCATAGGGCGTCTCTTCTGTATGCACTAAAAGTAGGCTTTTTTCCCGTATTAAGTACCTCCAAGTTAAGTTCAGCTAATGTTTCCATAACCTGTGTTCCTCTGTTGTCATCCGCTTTGCAGCCCCACCAGATGCTACTGGCATTTGCATCGCCACCGATGATAATATCTTCTGTCTGCATTGCTTTCACAAAATTCCTAATCGTTATTAAGTCTTCTTCAATTACGCCTTTTTCATTCAAGTAGATGCTGATGAAGCCAATGTTAAGATTACCTATTTTTAGTACTATACCTACGATATATCTTCGGTTAGTATGTTTGGGTTAATGGTGAAGTTAATGTTAGGGTCTATGACAACTATTGCAGATCTCACTGGCTTATTGATGTCATTACTAACTTTTTGGATTACACGGTATTGCGGGCCCACAGTTAAGTGTGTCTTTGCCCCAACATAAGGTTCCTGCATCAATATGATGGAAACGCCTTGTGTGGTGGCGGCCCGTAAGCACTCAAGTGTTGCCGCGCGGCCTCGATCAAGGTTGTATTGTGCCACTTTTACAAATTTTTTGCTATCAAGATTACCTGGTGTTCCTGTTTCATTAGTTTGGTAAACCAAGTCTTAACAGTATGACACGGAGCTCCTTGATATATTGTCCCATTTTTGCCACTCTGGACACTCGGGGCTATATGCGGGATGGGTAGCATTTTCTTTACCCGATCTGTTGCAATTATTGCAGGATGGAGCCACGTTTCTGTTTGAGCATGTCCTTGTATCATGGCTTCCAGAGCAGTACCCGCAGATTAGGTCATTTGTGCAATCTTTCGCTCTATGATTGAATCTCAGGCATTTGTAGCACTGGATAAGAGGAGACTGATCAAAGCAGGGGATTACCTGAAAACCTATACGCAATTTCTGGTCCTTTAGTCGAATCCACATTTGCGGCGTGACTTCCAGAATAACATTGATTAGGTCTCGTGTCCTGCCTTTAGTTCTGCGAAGAACTTTAGCGAATTTTTGTTCATCGTCTAAGTCTGTAATTAATTTTGAGTTTTGACTAAGAATTGCTTTTACTAGCTTATCGTCATTAAGCTCATTAGTAAGACCTATTAGGCGTAACTGAGGATGTTTTACAGAAGTGGTTGAAACAGTCAGACTGCTGCATGTATCTCTTATCGCCTTTTTTAAGGTTTGCCTATCTAATTGTGAATCACAGCTGATAATAACTCTTTGATTCCTTATTTTAGTTATTCTGTTCACGCCAACACCAAGTTTAACTGGGTCAACCTCTTTTTTAACCTGTTTCAGGATCTCGTCGCTCGTGGATCGCGGGTCTATAGATTCCAGGACCATTGCGTATCGAGGCGTTACCGTAGCTTCAGCGTATGTAAGTTTATGCGGTGAAGATGACTTTGTAACTGATGGTTGTGGCGTTGTATTGTTGTCATGGTATTCCTTATTGTTGTAGTCTGTATTCTGTCTATTACTAAAGACTTTTCTTAACTCTTCTATTTTATCCTTAATATCCGTTACGGCCAGCTCGGTACCTAGTCCTGAGTTTCCTTGAAATACCGCATTTGCGGTGGTGCAATCCTTTAGCTCACTTATCTCTGCTAGTAAGGTTTTAACCATATGAGCTATCGGATGCAACGCCGCTTCTAGCTCTTTTCTTTGGTCTATTCCTGTTGGTGGGATGTTTTGAAGGGTCTGTATCATATCTTTGATTTCAAGACTATGGTTTATTATTTCTCCAAAACGACAATCATCTGGGGCTCTTATTTCTGCTTGGACCGGCAGGTGTGGCGGTTCTTCAGCTTGAAGCTTAGAAAGCTTGTTGATTGACATAGTCAAACCTTCAAGCTGGTTAGTCATATCGGCTATCTTTCCGTTGAGGTGTGTAAGATACTCAGTGCAGGTCTTCGTGCACGAAATCGAGCTAGTCCCAGCTAGCTGTGGTTGTGCTTTGGCTGCTAATCCTCGCACTTCTATTTGAATTTTGTTTATGGTTTTAAGAGGTTCATCCATTTCGTAATTCAGCCAGCTGCGGATTGCCTCAACACCACTAACCGAACTTTTCACAGCTTCGAATATCTCTTTAATCTTATTGTGATGCAGTGTTTGAATCTCTGCCAGTTGCTTATTATGCGCTCTTTCTATTCTAACTAATTCCTTAGCTGCTCGACATTTTTCTTGTTCTAGGGCTAGCCGGTGTCGCGAGCGGGAGTCGGAAAGTGACAGCACCGTTTCATATAAGCCTTGAAGAGAGTCGTGCACCTCACTTTTGCACTCTCTCTTCATGTTGCCCGCTTTTTCTAAGGCTTCCTTGCCAGATTGCAGGAAGTCATTGGCGCGTTGGGTAGCTAGGTCCATAGATATTCCCGCTAGTTTATAGGTGGGAGGCAGTATACTCGACCTTCTGCTGTTAGTACTATAGATGCTGTCTCCTTCGGACCAGTCGTCGTCGGTTTCCCGTACCGGCTTGCATTGTCCTAATAAGGCTAGCTCTTTTTCCAAGTCCACTGTTACCGAGCTAGCTTCTGTGATTTCTTCACGCGTTACTGGTTCGGACTGCTTAGCCTGATCGCCCTCTTCCCCGGTGCCCTTGCTTGATTGGGCAGAACTGGCTGTATCAGTGCACGGCTCGGTGACAATATAGTTCCTGCTAGCGAATGCTTCATCTGCAGTTTTTCCAGACGTAGCTGCATTCTGTAATAAGACCTTCTTATGCAGACCACTGGAAGTTGGACTCGCAGCTCTGCTTGTCTTAGAAGACCTCGTTTTAGCTGTGTCAGCGCCAGAGATGGTGGATTTGGTTGACATTTTGGCAGTTTTTCTTTATTTTTTTTATTTTTTTTTGTCCGAGGTCGGATAAATTGAGTAAGCTATAGGTCTGTTAGATACCTTGCCTGATACTCAGTTATTTGAGCCCAAGCACGGGTGGTCTAGATTTTGTAGGTTCTGAGCAATTTACGGTTGAAATTTTCCAATATGGCCGATTCAATAACTCTTTTCGTTGCCAAAGCGGTACCTATTAAACAGTTACTTCGAGACTAGAATCAAACTGTAGTGAAAAATACAGAGAGCGTATTTTTTGGACTAGTGGGCCTCCTAAATATTTTCGTCCACTGACCAAACTATCGCTTCACCCGAACCTTTCTGATTGAATTAAGTCCAAACACGACCACTTTTGGCCAGTAACTTCGCGAGAAATTCGAAAAATAAAATTTCCAATATGGCCGACTTGATTATTATTTCCGTCGCCAAGACGGTGTTTATTTATCGAAACGGCTCGAGTTTGGGCTCAATCTGTAGGGAATAATATATAGAATGTGTTTATGGGCTAATGACCACCTAAAATTTTTTCCTCACACTGATTATACAATCGCCTTTCTTAGGCTCTCCTGATCAATTTAAGTCCAAACGCGGCCACTTTTGGCCAGTAACTTCGCAAGAAATTCGAAAAATAAAATTTCCAATATGGCCGACTTGATTATTATTTCTGTTGCAAAGACAGTGTTTATTAATCGAAACGGCTCGAGTTTGGGCTCAATCTGTTGTAGGTTAGGTTAGGTTAGGTAAGGTTAGGTTTTTTTTTTAATTTATTGAAAGCAATTTGATATTTTCTAAAATAACGCATTATGCTTCTGGTATACATGGTTAGGTTAGGTTAGGTTAGGTTAGGTTAGTTTAGGTTAGGTTAGGTTAGGTTAGGTTAGGTTAGGTTAGGTTAGGTTAGGTTAGGTTAGGTTAGGTTAGGTTTCGGGCGCTGACTTGACCTGTTATGCGGACGACAC